ATAACTCATTTCAACTTCCCTTCAAATTTTCGCAGTCTCCGATGGATTAAACATCGAAGGGGCAACTCACATGCTTGAGAATACCCAACCACTACTGCATGATATCAGACACGATGAGACTCGTGCAGCTAAAATGCACACACACGCAAGCATGTGCTAAACTTACACTTCTAATAGCAGCCCTGGGCTTCCAACCATCTACACGGATTCCATATTACGAACGTACACATGTCATATGTCTTTCATTCAGTCTGGATCGTCGTAGATTATATATGCTTCCGGTTGACCGGTACCGCTCGAGTCTACATTCAGAATGCGTCACGTAAACAACATTTATCATTCCAATCGCGTGTGCACACAGGCCGCCAGCGGTAGGAGGGGTTACAGGATGTCTGTATTTCCTTGCCATTATGAGTATTTGATAAGCGGGTTTTGACTAAGATTGGGAAGTTTTCCTCAAATCCAGGCCAAAGACGTGAACTTCACGTCTTCTAGATGCGTTTCGGAGTTTTAGATTCTTCTTGCTCTAAAAGATCTACATTTCGTGCGGTCTGCTCACGCGTGCGGACTTCGTGAATTATGAACGCTGCACGAGTGCGCAGAACGTGCAAGTCCAGAATATCACAATGCAACTCGGATATTCGGAAACCTTTTCCGATTATCTACACATTTTCCCCGGAGATGGAAAAATGTCGTTGGTTACCATGAGGATGCAGGGCATGGAAGATATGGCATAGGCCATCCTGCATCCTAAATTCTGCCTAAAGAGATGAAGCATCATACATGTTCGCGTGAGAATCTCACAGTGAGAAACTGCAAGAAGAGCGAGAGAGCAGTAACCATATCGCAGAGACTCACCGTATATATCCTTCCTCATGGTAACTCTCGTCGTCAGAGTTGTTACCTGGGTTTGGCATGATGATAGGCGTAACGACCCCTTAGACGAAATTGAATGTACTATCAGCGAAATTGGTTTCCGCACTTCGTCGAAATAGAACTTACTTCAGACGTGCCGGCGAAATTGGTTGTACTGTACTTATGACTCGTGTCGTCGAAATTGATTTTTCTATCGAGCGCGGTTTCTGGCGAGTTTTATCCTACTAAGGCATATCTTGGCTCGAATGATCGCTCGCCCTGCGTTCAGCTTACAAAAGCGAAGGGTCGCTCGAAGGCGTGTCGACATTCGATATGGCTAGAGCAGTTGAGAATCTCAACTTGAGATTCTCAACTTGAGAAAGACCCGTTCTCAACCATCATGGTGACGGTCTAGGACTGCCCTCAATCTAGCATGAAGTACGGCCTGGATACACATGCTAGGCACCGAAGATGCTGGGGGGGCTCACGGACCCATCTGCTTCGCCAAGGCTACAGTCCGAGTTCATCACCGACAACCTCCACCAAGTTAGTCGTCGAGGGAGGCGTCGAAGGCGTCGGCCGCTGAGCCACTCGTAGAGCTAGTCCGCCCGTTCAATAGACCGATTTTGAATTTGAGAAGCGTTTCTAGAAACGATTCTGGGATTTTCTGTTCATAGAACCAGCTCCGGAAACGATCCCAGAAACGTTTCCAGAAGTGGTTCTTAGCGCGTTCAAAGGAGCTTGTGCGCGATTCTGAGAGCGTTTCCAGAATCGCAGATTCCAGAACCACTCCGAGTGGTTCTGAAAATTTCGTGGCGCGTGACAGAAGCTTCATAGAGAAGAGCGCCGAGAAGGGAAACGTGTGGAGTTCAGAAGAAACAACTCTCCTTGGAGAATTGCCAGTCCCGAACTGGTTATGAGGGGCGATACAGCAAGAAAAGAGGTCATACTCAGCAGGGACATGACGTTTGTCGCCAAACAGACTCGAGAGGGTTTGCGAGTTGGGCCCCAACTGTTGAGCTAGTAACCGGGAGGTCGGAGGTTCGATCCCGGGAGGTGACATGTGAAAATATATCGGGTCTGGACCCTAGAATCGACCACCTCCAATCCTCTAGAGCGACTCTAGAGGACCGCAGTACTGAGGTTGGGCAACCAGGTACCACTTACTAACGGGTCAGTAGGTAAAGTTTACCTGATAAACAGCCTACTGACAAGTACTGGTACTCGTTCATAGGTAGACCGCTCGACAGTAACTACTAGTTACTAACTGCTATTTCGCAAAGTCGTCATTCTAGCTCAGTAGGATAAGCTAGTATACTGTGACCCAGGTGTCTCAGGTTCGAATCTTAGTAGAGGTATATTTCGGAATTCAGGGATAGTCTAGGAAGTCGAGGTATGGCCTCAGGTTCCATCCCGGGGAGCATCATTTCTCACGTACTTTATTTGTCCATTCTGGAATCGATGCTGGAATCGATTTTGAAAATCGTGTCTACTGAACGCGAGTCGGAATTGATTCTGGAATCGCTTCCGAGATCGATTTTCAACTTTCAAAATCGTGTTTATTGAACACGACTTCAGGAACGATTTCGAAAATCGATTTTGAGAATCGATTCCAGCATCGCACACAGCCTTGTCTATTGAACGGGGGGAGTGTCGAGAGCGGTGAGAGGAAGGTGATGGCTGTTGATCCCTATATTGTCTTCATCTGAGACGCTAGTAGACTGGGCGTTATGGGACTATTGGGAACTGTAAGAAAGGGACAGTGACGGAAGGCTGATAGCATAAGTGGTACAGATGCTTGGTGTAATCGAGGGCCGATGAGAGGCGTCCTATGGTCAGGGATGAGCATGGGTCGAGGGATTGTTGCAGTGATGTCAAAAGTTCCGAGACTATCGTGAATGCACGACGCTAACATGATTCAGAAGTAGACGCCTGCCTGTGCCTCCCCTCCGTAGTGTACGCTGGTTTTATCATCACCCTCCACACAGGGATGACTGTCATCCCTCGCTGGAGACTGTTATTCTCGATGGCGCAATGATACACATGCAGTCGCGTTCCCTCGTATCATTCGTCTATTGAATTTTTGAAGGTCAATGTGTCGCTAAAGTTCGCCACAGCTGTGCATCGTTTCGCACTGCTTGTTGTTTGCCTGAGAGTTCTGCTTCCGCCCGCATAACTCGGACGCAAACGTGAATCACGTTACGTGATCGATCTGGCCTTGTACACTTGAGCAGAAGGCATCCACTGATCTCTCCAACATATTACTGAGAGAAGTTCTCGTCATGCGAAACAAGCGCGGCAGCTGGGTCCATTTCTATATCCTCTTTATCAAGTTGAGTGACCGAAGACTCTTCGGCGAAGAGTAACGGGAGGCACGCTTCATTCAATGGAGTCCATTATTTCTGCACGATATTACCATTCGGACGCTTTCTCTCTGTCTCGAACTTCGCTATGTCCTTTGCAAACTCTCGGAGTCCTCGGTCCGAGGATGGAACCTTGACTGTCCCTTCCAGTTGTATCTTTGGCGGCAACTTGTAACAGAAAGGACAATGATATCAATGCACTCATGCGAACTCAAGACATTCTGATGTATTCAATCGTGTAGTCTGAATCTTAATCCACCGACATAGCCCGCCCATCCGCCAGAAAATAAGCTCTCCATGGAACAACTCGCCGAATAGCATACTTCTAAATGGTATATGTAAAATCATACCACTAGAAGGACCAATCGAGCTGAAGGTCTTCTCACGGAGCGTTCATGAAACGATCAACGATAAAAGAGGGCATTCTGCTGTAGAGCGTAGGTTCGAAATAATAGAATAAAAGGAAAGGAAATGAAGAGATAAGCAGGAGAGATAAGAGGAGATGATTCTCTCCACAAAATGAGAGAATCGTTTACGGAGATCGCGGTTTCAACTTGCCAATTCCCACTCGCTTGAGAGTAGGGTCGAACTGGAAATAGTTATCGATCAGTATACGATCGGGAAAGATCCATTGGTTCTTGATATTCTTCTTGATAATAAGACGACAAACGTCAGATTGATTGGGCACTCTCTTAGCGTAGTGCATGTATCTCATCGAGAATAAGGTCGTGCCTCGAGGGCCCAAGTAAAACTGCAACGGTGGCAATTTGGTCATGTATCGGCAGGGAAAATACCATCTCTTCCGTTCTGGATGGTACACGAAGTCGACATGCTCACCTGCAGCCTTGTCGGTCTGGGCTTCAATATCCTTGATGAGATTGTCGTAGTATAGTCCTGGGACAAGTAGACTGATGCAGCCGGTGTCGAGTAGTGCGTTCATATTCATATCAGAAGTTATGTGTCCATTACCGACTTGTAGCTTATCAATATTTACCGTGTAACGTCTGTCCATAGAGAAGTCGATATACTTCAATGCACCCTCGTATAATTCAGGATCGCCTCCACCCAGAAGTAGGCCTCCATCAGTGGATTCCCCCTTGGGATCAGCGGGAGGATACAAGTAGAGGGCAATAATACCGGTCGATACAGTTCGTGATGATCGCAATTGCGTCATCATGGACGGGAAGTTCACAAAACCTCTATCATAGCCAAGACCCATCAAATTTGCCGGAGGATGTGCGGGATCGATGCGAGGAGTCCATTCGAATACCAGTCCGAAAGTGAGGTTCTGCGGCAAATGACCCACCGTTAACTTCGCTTTATGCTGAAACGTCTTCACCGTCATTCCTCCACCGAAAGTAACAGTTCTCGTTACGTTACTCACAGAGCAAGGCGGAGAACATTCGAAACACCCCATGGGCCAGTCCTTGCAGAGGATTCTACCGTCTTTCTCGAGCCAATGCTTCCAGATAAGGAAAAAAGAATCAGATCCAGTGTCAACGAGAACATCTAGCTTCTGGCCATTCTCGTCGACCAGAGTATGAAACAATCCGAAGCCGAATCCGCGTACATCTTTGAGCCTCACATCGAGCTTGAGAGTATTTCCTCGGGTGACCTTCAACACGCCAAATACATAAACTAAGGCGAGCAGACGCATAGGCATAGGCAGAGGAAGAGGCATTTCGGTCGTTATTTCGGCCAAAATTCAACTTTGTAACATTCTGGATACGTTCCATGTTATGATACATCATTGTCACCGTGACAATGTCACGTCATCCGCGATGACTGTGCGCTGCTGCAGCGCAGCAGCGCACATTCATCGCCTGCTACGAGTACCAGTGGCTGTGCAGCACAGCCACTGGTACTCGTAGAGGGGGTTGATAACTCATTTCAACTTCCCTTCAAATTTTCGCAGTCTCCGATGGATTCAACATCGAAGGGGCAACTCACATGCTTGAGAATACCCAACCACTACTGCATGATATCAGACACGATGAGATTCGTGCAGCTAAAATGCACACACACGCAAGCATGCGCTAAACTTACACTTCTAATAGCAGCCCTGGGCTTCCAACCATCTACACGGATTCCATATCACGAACGTACACATGTCATATGTCTTTCATTCAGTCTGGATCGTCGTAGATTATATATGCTTCCGGTTGACCAGTACCGCTCGAGTCTACATTCAGAATGCGTCACGTAAACAACATTTATCATTCCAATCGCGTGTGCACACAGGCCGCCAGCGGTAGGAGGGGTTACAGGATGTCTGTATTTCCTTGCCATTATGAGTATTTGATAAGCGGGTTTTGACTAAGATTGGGAAGTTTTCCTCAAATCCAGGCCAAAGACGTGAACTTCACGTCTTCTAGATGCGTTTCGGAGTTTTAGATTCTTCTTGCTCTAAAAGATCTACATTTCGTGCGGTCTGCTCACGCGTGCGGACTTCGTGAATTATGAACGCTGCACGAGTGCGCAGAACGTGCAAGTCCAGAGTATCACAATGCAACTCGGATATTCGGAAACCTTTTCCGATTATCTACACATTTTCCCCGGAGATGGGAAAATGTCGTTGGTTACCATGAGGATGCAGGGGCCCTGCAGCAGGGCATGGAAGATATGGCATAGGCCATCCTGCATCCTAAATTCTGCCTAAAGAGATGAAGCATCATACATGTTCGCGTGAGAATCTCACAGTGAGAAACTGCAAGAAGAGCGAGAGAGCAGTAACCATATCGCAGAGACTCACCGTATATATCCTTCCTCATGGTAACTCTCATCGTCAGAGTTGTTACCTGGGTTTGGCATGATGATAGGCGTAACGACCCCTTCGAAAATTGAATGTACTATCAGCGAAATTGATTTCCGCACTTCGTCGAAATAGAACTTACTTCAGACGTGCCGGCGAAATTGATTGTACTGTACTTATGACACGTGTCGTCGAAATTGATTTTTCTATCGAGCGCGCTGGCGAGTTTGATCTTACTAAGGCATATCTTGGCTCGAATGATCGCTCGCCCTGCGGTCGGCTTACAAAAGCGAAGGGTCGCTCGAAGGGGTGTCGACATTCGATATGGCTAGAGCAGTTGAGAAAGACCCGTTCTCAACCATCATGGTGACGGTCTAGGACTGCCCTCAATCTAGCACGAAGTACGGCCTGGATACACATGCTAGGCACCGAAGATGCTGGGGGAGGGACTCACGGACCCATCTGCTTCGCCAAGGCTACAGTCCGAGTTCATCACCGACAACCTCCACCAAGTCAGTCGTCGAGGGAGGCGTCGAAGGCGTCGGCCGCTGAGCCACTCGTAGAGCTAGTGTCGAGAGCGGTGAGAGGAAGGTGATGGCCGTTGATCCCTACATTGTCTTCATCTGAGACGCTAGTAGACTGGGCGTTATGGGACTATTGGGAACTGTAAGAAGGGGACAGTGACGGAAGGCTGATAGCATAAGTGGTACAGATGCTTGGTGTACTTGAGGGCCGATGAGAGGCGTCCTATGGTTAGGGATGAGCATGGGTCGAGGGATTCTTGCAGTGATGTCACAAGTTCCGAGACTATCGTGAATGCACGACGCAGCGTCGTCGACGCCAACATGATTCAGAAGTAGACGCCTGCCTGTGCCTCCCCTCCGTAGTGTACGCTAGTTTTGTCATCACCCTCCTCACAGGGAGGTCGCGACGACGCGTTTGATCCGGATATATAGTATGTCCATTGAATTGGCATGAATTGGTACTGTATTGTATCAGATTTGGCCCGATTCTGATACAATAAATGCAGTAACATTAATCGTGTTCCCAAATCGGATAACAGAGGCGTTCCCCATCTTATCCTAGGGTAGAAGTGCCTGACGCCATGAGTAGTGTTGTGGGATGCCCCACAAGCAACGAACAAGGGTCATAGTCGAGGAGAGGAGTCAGCGTCACTCAGCGATCAAGTGTTTGCTTTGGTCCCGCACGGGTTGTAGCCGTGATTGGCAGACTACACCTCAGTGGTGATATTATCATCATCGTGGATCAACAATTCATTGTAGAGACCCTCTGTTCACAACCCCAAAGAACTACTTGAGCGCACTGAATTAATGCTCAACTCATTGCACCCGGGTTCGAACCCTGCTGACGGCATCTCACATAATCTCGAAATGATCAGCATCACGTCTCAACTCAAAAATACTCCCCGAGAAAGATGAAAATTAGTCTCGTAAATGGCAAGGGTTGATTGAAACTATCCTTTATAACGAGTAATACATAGTACATAACCACACTTATCTACTCAAAGGCGCTGGAGGCTTCACGCCATCTGCTGATGGGAAAGTCTTGGACAGAGTACTTGGTCGCAAAGGCTAGGGTCAACTCCAGCGAAAGTGATTCAAGTCGGCGAACGAGCTTGGCCATCCGCGGGTGCTTCAATAGTCCAAAGTTTCTGAGAGGAAGTCCTTGGCAACTGACACGTTATTCTTTCTAGTGGACTGGGTGACGGGACAGACCCGTGTGAAGTGTGAGCCGCTGGTATGGCAGCAGTTAATCGGGCACTCGTCCCGGACCGAGATTACAGGGGGGAGGGGGGGACCTGCAAGTCTTCCGTCCTCTCCACACTACAAGTCGACTAATGCAGTTAACAGTTTCGTAAATATGTAGGGATACTCGGTCGAACTGGAGGATAAGAGTTGAAATACACTCCCAAATCGGCCGGTATGACCATCTTCACCTCCGCCTTCTCCCTAGCGGTATCGTGTTTAGTCTGCTCATGATAGGAATATATCCTAACGACCTGATCTCCGGATCGCGCGCCCTAAAAATCCGCACATTCGTATCGTAATAACGCAGACCAACAAGTACACGTAGAAACTGTACAGTATACACTAGGACGTCGCACTAGTGGCCTTCAATAGGAGTATATGGGCCGCTTGAACGCCAGCTACCGTACCCGATATCATCACACTGCACTTCCACCTGAACAACCTTATGACCAATAACGACGACCACTATCGTGCTCCACCATATTACTTGGCGGCCAACTCCTGCCTCGTCATCAGCGTACCCGTAGTGGACATGATATCATTGAATTCGCCATTATTGATGATCTTCTCAACAGCCTCCTTCTCCACATGGCACTCTATCATACAGTGCGACTTCATCACTGCCAAACCTTCCTCTGCACCATCCTGGACCGGGTCTGTCGACACTCCTGATGCCTCAGTCGACAAGGCCATTGGAATATAGTGACAACTTCACAACCTTATTGAATTCAACCAATGCAACTGATCAACGTCTATCCCTAGTCTCGTGAGAGAACGAATACACAACTGTCGTAATAGACCTAATAAAACGGAGACCCAGGTTTCGCCAACTCGCCGAATTTGGCGAGACTACTTCACGCTTAGCCAAATCTGGATTTGGCAAAGTGCGTTACAGTCCCCCCCCTGTAGACGGGAAGACACCAACTCAGTATTGATACCAACCATTTTCTGCTGACGGCGCTTCGCCAAACTTTGAAATGCGCTCGCCCGTACGCGGAAACACGTCCCTTGTACCAGGTTATGCGAAGATGATATTGGTGATTCCCGTTTGACCAACAGGTGTGGGCGACTTTTCTGGTCAACTTTGGCGAACCTGCCTGAATCAGATAATATCTTCAGAGACGAACTATTTTCTTGGCCAATGTTTTTCCAACTGCGGTGTAATCTACATTGGAACGTGTTCTGCCAAATGTGTGTTGTTGTATTCTGTTCGGTGGGATCATCTTTTAGGGCAGAATTTACCAAATTGGCCAGGGGTCCGACAAGTTCGGCCTTGCTTGGTTCGTCGGACTACGCCATTCTTTCACAAACTTTTTGATCATAGCTACACCGGACGAAACCTCGACGTGGGGTAATTCGTGAGGTCATTAAAAACGGTGATGGCCATGGTGCCGGATGATGTGATATACCGTTCCGTGGGTACTTTTCCGCAAGTGAAGAAGCGACAGGCATTGAATTTGCTCTTTTCAAGGACACCAATCTCGAGTTCATATTCGACAAGGTTTGAAATGACAGCCAGGAGTGACAATATACAGTCAAGAATGACAAGTCTTCCCGAAGCGAACCTCTTCGTGTAATGGTCTCCCTAGGTAACCATCATGCAGTCAAATGAATGTTGCATCACCATTAATAGGATGAAGAAAAGAACTCACCAGTCACCGACAGTGGCACTACTCGTGGAATACCACAGAGCTTGTGATCCCCCAATTGAAAGGTTGGTGGACAGCCTATGATACTGTTCATCACCACGTGCATTTGGTTCCGTGGTGATGTCTATTCGTAGTCTGTCTTATCAGATGACGTTCCCATACTCAGAGTGTGGGCAATTGTACACAAGTGGTGGTCAGCTCACCCTTTTCCGTGACAAGCTCATCGACTGTGAGAACACGAAAACAATCAACTTGAAACCCTCAAATCAAACGCGGTGTCAACGAGCAACGATTCCACGCGTTGTGAAGCATAAAGTGTGATATGATGAACCAGCGAGTGTACCTCGCAAAAGCAAGACGCACCATAGAGTTTTTTTAGCTCTCCGGAAAATTTTTCTTTGAGAAAGTTGATTCAGCTCTGTCTGTCCTACTACGGAACCGCCCAAGGAAGTAGGCTTTAGACTCTCGGAACGTCAGTCTCGCAATGAGTATACACGACAGTCCAAGAGCAATAGGTAGCAAGATGAAAACCCCATCCCAAGAATAGGTAGCTATCCACGACACGAGTCCTTGCTGCACAGCAGCACCACATGCACCGACTCCATCAATGATGCCTGCAACTTGGGAAGTTGCTTCTCTATTGCCTTTAAGAGCATCCTGTCGACCCAGGTCAGTACAAACTGCCGAAGAGACAATGTTAGCAGCGCCACCGATGAAAAAGCCAGCCAAAGAGAGCATCACGTAGAGGTAGACAGTGGTGGGCTCATCAACGTGTAACAATGATACTGGGATGAGTGCTAGGAGTTGGAAGAGGAATAGGGATGGGGCTCTACCAGACCCCGGCACAACAGCCATCACATCTGACAACCAACCACAGGCGAGACTTCCAACAACCACACCGATATTGTATATGGTGTCGAGGAGATTAGCTTGCTCCGGGGAGAGATGGGCATGTTCATGCAAGTAGAGTGGAAGCCAGAAGAACATGGCGTAGTTGACACCTTTCACACATGCATAGGCCAAAGCGAAAGTTATCACCCCCGGAATCAGCCACGCCCTCCAGAACTTGATGCGTTCCTGAGCTTGGTGCTCGGCCGACGCCGAAGGTTGTAACTCACCAGAGCGAGCAGGCTCAGCTTCGATCCCCGAGGGACTCGATTCGTTACTCGACTGACCAATAACCCTGTAGAGGGCCTTATCAAGACTAACCGGAAGTGTCATGAAAGTAAGCAAGCCCACAGCCACTAGTATCACTGCAGGTGTGATGAAGGTAGCAGAAATGACTGCTCTGCCGGTCTCGCCAAATATGACTATCATCAACGAAGCGAGATTAGCCCCTACTATGTTGCCAACTGCAGCGTTGGTCGCCCATACACCGAATATAATTCCAGAATGCATGTCGCCAAAATAATTACCCATGATCTTAACAAGAACCGGCCATACAGCGGACTGGAAAACTCCGTTGCAGGCGTTCAAGACGTAATAGAAATAGTACATTCCCGGAGCTGTAAAGTGGACCACAAGTAGACCAAATATACACTGGTCAATGGCTGCGAGGGATACAGCAACTAACGAGACAAGGATTGGGTTATACATATCTCCGAGTACACCTGTCATGAGCATGCCTAATGCGTACGATATCATGAAGACCACATCCATGACGCCAAAGAAGACCGTGGGATAATCAAACTGGGGATCTTTGAGAAGGGAGGCTGCGCTCGATATGGCCTTACGGGTGGCGTGGACCATCACATATACCAGGAAGGTCAACGCGAAAGCCAGCACTTGATACGATAGACGAGGTTTTGGGATAAGATGAGCGATGGTGATGGGGAATATCATTACGTGGATCAAGTGCGGCAATCAACTTGAGAATAAGGCGATAAAGAACGCGATAGAGCCCAAGTCCGAGGTCGACCGACTATCTTCCCGCCTCGCTGGCGTCACGAAGCATGAGTCGCACAGAAATCCCTCTAAACATTTTATTGGACCTATCTACAACCCTAAGCTTGACTATCAAGAGCATGATGGACTTCCCGATAGCAACTGACAGGGCTCCAGTCGACTTGAAGGTACATGTGAGGGGTCTGACTAGCTGCTGGTACGCAGAGATCATACAAAGACGACTAGAAGTGAGTGGCAGTTGAGTATTATAATGAAAAGCTAAATCCTTCTGTAGCGTCTGCCGGCTCAAACCCCGGAATAACTGGTGGCAACTCAACCCCTCCGCCCCTTGGAGATGGGGTCTCAAATAGGTTGTGTGAGTTAGGCATCAGAAGATGGGATATGAGAGGCTACACAGAGAAATGTAGGGTCATAACCCGTAACGACGCCAAAAAGACTTAGCAAATAATGCCTCATGGAAAAGGGTGCAATGAACGGGGCTGATCGTGCACGTGTCACAACCGGCGTCACGATATTGCGCGCGTGAAGAACACAAGACCCTCAGAGAAGCCCTTGAAGTGGGGAGTCGACACATAGCCGCTCCTAGTATGGGTCGGGTCCTACACTGCACTTCGAGTACGGTTAAAGGACTACTACTACGGTATCGATACCTACCAGTAATTTCTTCGCATCCATACTTCTTACCAGTAAACCTTCGAGGACACTTCGATATGAAGGACCGCCCCACTTAACTACTCACACAGAACACGTTTCTTCTGATCCGCCTACAGTACTTCGAGAATTCTCAGGGCATCAATCTGTGCATAATCATCCCCGACGCATGGGATAGATGACATATACATGTCAAGACCAGAGACATGAGCCTTCTATTGAGAGGGGAACATGCTTCAGCGGTCTTACCCTCGCACCCAGAGCACTCCCCACCCATGGCCGGGGCAACGATGAACTTTCGGTGTGCTCTGCATTGCTGCAGGTTTGCAATATGTGTCTGCGTGTTAACGTGCACGCAGACACAGATTATACAAAGACTACATGAATTATCCCAGTGTCAAGTCGCCAGCTTCATCAGCACTGCTGATGAAGCTTGCGACTCACAACCATGATTCGATGAGTCGTGAGTGATAGTATCACTAGGATACACGGCCATGACAATTCGCCATTGACAGACCCCTCTACTGTGGGAAGCAAAGCCACTTCTCGGAATTCATTTACGATTGTTGCAAGTGGTATCATACGCGCCACCTCAACTCTCGACGAGTCGGATAGTGGTTGGTTGTCCCTGGCGCAGCCAGGCTGGCTTCAGTAGTCCGATACCATTGGAGCTCAGTGACTGTGAGAAGTTTTCGCTAGGAACTTCTGGCTAACAAGCTTTCGGCTTAGTTTTGGTATTCGCGGCAATTCCGCAACCTGTGGCAACGGTGTTGGCAACGAAGGCACATCTCGCCGGAGCAATTCTCAACGAGAGACTTATTCTTTCGTTGGATGAATTTGAGATTGGAAAGGTGTAGGAAATCGGGTAGTGACTGTATGACGTGAAGCCTTCAAGAGAGGACATATCTGTCCCTCGAGCGTAATGGGTGTCACGGAGGACCACAACCGTCGGAATTAGGGTAACTTCGCTCGTGCCAACGAAATCGATCTTCTTATCTCGAGTTCGCTTGGCCTGAGGCATGTCTTGGTGGCACAGCGGCTCCACCCAATGACACTGTCCTTATTGAGAGCGAAATAGGCCTTTACAGGACCTCCACAGCCAATATCGTCAGCGTTCTATTACAGGCATATCTCGGGGTGATGGCATAGCCGCCCCACCCAACGACACTGTCCTTAGTGACAATGGAATGGGCCTTCAAAATGCCTTCGCAGGCAATATCGTTAGCGTTCTATTACAGGCATATCTCGGGGTGATGGCATAGCCGCCCCACCCAATGACACTGTCCTTATTGAGAGCGAAATAGGCCTTTACAGGACCTCCACAGCCAATATCGTCAGCGTTCTATTACAGGCATATCTCGGGGTGATGGCATAGCCGCCCCAGCCAACGACACTGACCTTAGTGAGAGAGCAATAGGTCTTCCAGATGCCTTCGCAGCCAATATCGTCAGCGTTCTATTACAGGCATATCTCGGGGTGATGGCATAGCCGCCCCACCCAACGACACTGTCCTTAGTGACAGTGGAATGGGCCTTCAAAATGCCTTCACAGCCAATATCGTCAGCGTTCTATTACAGGCATATCTCGGGGTGATGGCATAGCCGCCCCACCCAACGACACTGTCCTTAGTGACAGTGGAATGGGCCTTCAAAATGCCTTCACAGCCAATATCGTCAGCGTTCTATTACAGGCAGATCTCGGGGTGATGGCATAGCCGCCCCACCCAATGGCACTGTCCTCACTGAGAGTGCAGTAGGTCTTCAAAATGCCTTCGCAGGCAATATCGTCAGCGTTCTATTACAGGCATATCTCGGGGTGATGGCATAGCCGCCCCACCCAATGACACTGTCCTTATTGAGAGCGAAATAGGCCTTTACAGGACCTCCACAGCCAATATCGTCAGCATTCTATTACAGGCATATCTCGGGGTGATGGCATAGCCGCCCCACCCAATGACACTGTCCTTATTGAGAGCGAAATAGGCCTTTACAGGACCTCCACAGCCAATATCGTCAGCATTCTATTACAGGCATATCTCGGGGTGATGGCATAGCCGCCCCACCCAATGACACTGTCCTTATTGAGAGCGAAATAGGCCTTTACAGGACCTCCACAGCCAATATCGTCAGCGTTCTATTACAGGCATATCTCGGGGTGATGGCATAGCCGCCCCAGCCAACGACACTGACCTTAGTGAGAGAGCAATAGGTCTTCAAAATGCCTTCACAGGCAATATCGTCAGCGTTCTATTACATGCATGTCTCGGGGTGATGGCATAGCCGCCCCACCCAACGACACTGACCTTAGTGAGAGAGCAATAGGTCTTCAAAATGCCTTCACAGGCAATATCGTCAGCGTTCTATTACATGCATGTCTCGGGGTGATGGCATAGCCGGCCCACCCAATGACACTGTCCTTACTATTAGTAAGGACGGTGTAAGTTACGTAACCCTCGGAAGCAGTTGAAATACGAGCGGGAGGTCTATGCGATGTGTACGACGGTCCACTTCGTCCCAACTCGACATCATTGCTACACAACCATGATGTAACTTGCCGCATGAGCTCTATCCAGGACCAATAGTTCTCAGAATCTTCCACAGATAGTTTTCATTCTCAACATGGGGATTGTAACACCAGGTTTCGGTTGACACAGCATAGCGGAGCATCGCCCCAATGCCAATTAGCATGAAAGTAAGGATACTCATCAGCAGGCAGAAGAGGTAAATGTATCTGCTGCATAACCATAATCGACTATCTGAGCCGTTGTAAGGCACCTGTTAATGTAGCTGCCAATCTGCGAGCACTCAAGCTCATCGAAGAACAGAGTAGGATCGGTGGTCGAGCCCCAAGAACAGTATTGTTTGGTCGCGTGACCGAATGATGCGTTGGTTCGAAAAGCCTCGTACGGGTCGTTTAGGTTCTTTGCTTTCCTGAAGGTCGTAGACAGCCAAAGAGAGGAAACATTCTGACAGACTAATTGCATACACGATAGAGCTCAGAGGTTGTTGTCCTCGGTAGTTGGACGGTATGCACGACTCCACTGTAGTACTGCCTATGTCGCTATCACAGGGTAGAACTGATGCAGCATTCGCCTCGACCTACGACAAGCGAATTTTCACTAGAACTTCTCGGACTGGTATACCTTCGGGAGGTTCAATCTATCTATACGATTGTTGATCCTCTTCAAAGCAGCTTCGTTGGAGGTCGAATCTTCGACATACAAGCAACGACAGTAGACATCCTGAACTAACGAAACTACTAGGAGGACTACCATGGAAGCTTGCGTCATTGGACCGTTTGGCGAGTACTACCCGGAACATCTTCTGTCCAGCTATATCGATACCATAATACGGACAAGTCTGTTCGAACTGTGAGGTCGCTTTGTACAAGAAATTGATGTCAGAAGAATTATAAACAACCCGGATTCGGTTCACGTCGGTATCCTACCACAGTCGGTAGCGCATCATCAATTATCTGCTGATGCTGCATTTGCTACCATGCAGTCGTGATGGAGGACCCAGCAACGTTGGCAAGCAGTGGGATAGACGACTCTAACGTCGAAGCGGCCACTGAACATTGACTTATACGCGAGAGAGTTGCATTCCCGAAGGTGTTCTTCCATGTCCGCTTGATGAGGCAGCCCAGGCCCTCTACAATGATCACTGAAATAGTATCTAGTTCACGCCGCGGTCATGGAGTGGGACCGTGAAGCGAGCTTATCTGCAATTGATCAGCTGATTGTATATACAGTCGTCTTGGAAGTTAACACAATTATGGGTGCGCGCCGTTATACCGAAACACTCGCGAGCCGCTGTCATCTGGTGGAAGCATACAGTGCAGACATCCACAAGGGTACAGGCTCTACCCTGATGAGCAGGCCAACGACCAGAGATCCAACAACGACCAGAATAAAGCGTGCTATCCAGGGGCCATGCTTGCAGAGACCGCCAAGGAAGCCAACCTGTCAATGTGTGCTAAATGACTCTTTTCATGAGGGCTGCTCCTGCTCGCCATGTCATTTGGTCGAGGTCCAGCTCAGCCACTGGCAAATTGGAGAAGAACTTGAAACCAAAGCTCATGAGGAAGCAGACGACCACTAGTAGTGCATAGAAGGCAGCCACTGCGAACATATATATTTCCAATGATCGAATCTGAAATCGACCAACAGCAAACGCTGAGGGACGATCACGGCCCTGATACTGTTGACATGTTGCATGATGTGTCAAGGAGCGTTGATACACCTCCGAAGCCCGACTTCTCACACTGCCAAGTCTTACGGAAATATCTCGCAAACGTCCAAAAGGCTTTGGCATCCTAATACTGAGGAAATACACAGTGGAATCCGCGGTGACAGAGCTCACAACGTATGGAGGGTCTCTGGTGTAGAACTTCAGAGTTCGACCATCAACAACAGTATTCGAGGACTGCACACACTCATCGAGTATGTTACTAGGGCCGAAGCCAGTGTGAACACGGAAAGGAAAGTAGAGGAAAAGGAATAGACCTGCTCACACCGGGAGAGGCAGCGAGGTGACCATGCAAGTTTCACCTATGATGGACACGTTCATCTTGAGCTTGAAGAATGATGCCAAGCGATAACTAGATCTACGCCGTTTGAAGTGGTTTGCTTGGTTTTCAACGAAGCCTGTGCACAGGCCAACCAGCGTGCCTGAGTCCCATGGTGATATTGCAGGATTGTATTCGACAATGATTCACCGATTATGGGCAGTCGTGTTATCAACGGAGTTTCTTTTCCCATCGAAATGCAAGGCTGGGAGTATCATATAAGATCTCAATCGACGACACAAAACCCTCATCTGTCCTAGAAACACGCATACAAGGAGTGGGCATAAAACACCATGAGTAACTCTGGAAACACGACGGCAGCAAGAAACGATTGGAGTAAAGCCAGCACCTCACCAGACTCGATCATTGCCTGAGGGTGACTTATCTACCGCTATCAAGTTGTCATGGCTTGTAGGCCCATGGCTAACTCCTATACCTACTATTGTCATTGTGTCACCCAAAAGGAGACTACCTAACACAACCGCAACGCGGTGGTTTCATATGAACAGTAATAGTATTCAACTATTGACGTTGTTGTTGTTGCTGTTGTTGTTGTTGCTGTCGTTGTTGTTGTTGTTGTTGTTGTGGTTGTTGCTGGCATTCAGCTGCTCATTCACTCATTTGCTTCTGGTGAGTAGCGAGTGCCGTAACGTACTCCTTCAACGATGATCTTACCTTCACATCTTGTTCAGCATTAGGCGGGCACAATACGCCGGGGTCACTGTTCGAGCCTGCTGCCGCTGTTGCTGCTGACCATAGGCCCCAATGTAGAGAGGCATCGCCGACTGCTGCCCACAGTGGGCAGCCCACTATTGCTAATAGCAGCTCCACAATAGACTCTCAACCCTCCCGCAGGTTGCTCTCCGTCGTACTGCTGCTGATCCGTGTATCAATGTTGTTGTCCACAACCGCCAACTAGCTTCTGTCAACAAGTTTCTAACTTCGCCAACAAACTCGATCTTTCGCCGTCCCACCAAGATAACTCCAATTCGGTGATACTCAGTTCTGTTACATACTCCCATTGAAAATATCTCAACTCCCTCGGAAGTTTGGCAGCATTCGAGTCGGCGAAACTTTTTACAAACTTGAAAAGTACATTCTCGCTCGCCCTAAAATAAGACGTCCTTGTAGAAGGTCAGGCTTACTAAGCCTAATGCAGTAAAGGTAGCCATCAAATTGACTGGATGCGTGTATTAAAGATACCACCCTGGATAAAGGCACCGTTCATATTGCTATGGCATGTACTAGCTCTGTATCTTACGAGCTTAACCTAAAGATTCCTTTCCAGTTACCCAACCGAATTGGATACCGGGTCGGAAGGTGTTTTGATTTATCAATGACGTTGATAGGACCAGCCTTGGTAAAGAGTATCTTTCCAACGTGTGTAGGCTTATGTGAACCTCTAGATACTATTGGCATTCTCCCTGTATGGATTTTGTACCTACACCTACTTTGCTGTCATCATTTATTACTACAACACAGCATGGGTTTGGCTAGGCGCCACGGCCGTTGGCATCTTCCTCCTACTCAACATGATATACAATTACGCACAGGTAGTCGGATTCTCCCGTTATTCTATCAGAAACTGCACCCTAGGCGGTCCGAACCTCCCCTGGAGTACCCCCTGTATGCGACCCTGAAGCTCCATCGGGGGATGATGATGGTAGCAGGACACCCCACGTAGCGAGGCGATCCCTCATGTCTTCTCAGACATTGAGGAGCTTGCTTTAAGGAGCGCGTTGCAATTACGGTTGGCGAAGAACGGGATTGCTTATCAAGGCTTCGCCGATAGTGACAACTCTGGTAGGCTCAAGAATTGCTGGGAAGGCAAATCACGATGAGCAATTGGAGAAGAGTGGGCTTGTGTAATCGATTACTTGAATTTGGATGAAAAACTCTGGTTGAATTCGGAAGATTTCAGCACGGTGTGGATCAAAGCATGTGGGAATTCATCACTCCATCGTTCACACTTGTTCACCTGGCTCGGTTGGGCAGGCGTGATTCGAATCTTTCAGGATGCTGTCAATGGTTAGTTGGGGGTTTACCTCAACACGTGGTGTTTTCAGATGATGATACTACCGGCCCTCCCCCTTCTTCCTCTTCCTCATCGGCAGCGAGTCCCTTCCCACTGTGCCGGAAGTGCAATAGGTAGTCGAGGGTAGGGGGTATACAACGCATAGGATGCCTTTCCTCTAAAGCCATCTCGTGATGGAGATCTGCCATCTCTAAGACTCTCTTAGAATAGGCGTTTACGCCAGGTGGACACTTTAAAGTATTAGCGTTGGAGCGTTCATGGATGCACAGTGGTGGATCGATTGACTGATTTCGTGGCTCGTGGTAAATTTCTCAGGTACAAGCCTCCACGAGCACACCACTGTTCAGTATGTAAAGTATGTGTGTTGAAGATGGACCATCACTGCCCATGGCTCAATAATTGTGTTGGGCACCGAAACTACAAGTACCAAAGCCGAGGACGGGTTCAGTGTCGTGTAATGAATTCAATAGCGACGTTGCGTATTCGGCCAGAGTTTTGTTCCCGAATTCGTAATTATTTACCCGCTAAACATTGAGTTTAATCGCCGATGATCTACAGTCTTCCTCTGAGGCAACCTCAGCGGTTGAACATTAGATGGCGCTCGTGTGAGGCCTTCCTGAGCATCTTCCTGTTGCTACCTAAGGTACTTCTATCTCTTCCTACTGTACCTAGAGCTATGCTGTCTATTTGTGATCCTCATATTCTTCAACCCCTTCTATACGGTGATGTTCCCAGCACGAGGGGCTCCTCGATGGGACGTGTCCATCGGCTACAAACAAGTGATAATTTCGTGGCGCGCGACATATTATTAGGCTCTTTCAGGCAGTAGCGATGTCATTTGTCATCTGCCTAGCGATGGTCATTGCCGTTGGCATCCTTCTTGGCTTCCACACATATCTAGTACTCACGAATCAGACCACGATAGACTTCCAGTCCAACGCATATGAGGCTAGAGTGGCTAAACAGCAGGGGCGACTTTTCATGTAGTGCTCAGGACAGTGTCGTCGTCGATGGTTGTGATTGATTTGATTTTCATTACCAGAAATCCTTTCGATTTGGGACGGGCCAGGAATTTCCATCAAGTTTTTGGAGACTGCGCGTTCTGTTCATTCCGATGGATGATACCGTGGGCCAATTCGAAGGTGAGCCGTCACGCGCCACGAAATTATGATGGTCCGTCATTTTCAGCCGGCCCCTAATTGTGATGGTTACATCTGGCCGACTATTGGCGCTCGAGGACATCCTCGAGGTAGTGACGGAGGTAGTTGGAGCAGTGTCCGTCGCCACAAAGGCCCTGCTTCCCGTAACCCTGCAGAGTGAGCGTACCGTTCCATATGACACAGTTTGCAATGAAGGCATGTTGAGTGTGTAGACCAGCTCCTTAGGGGGGCAATGGTTATTCTTAGTAGTGGTAGTAATGACCAGCCCTCCGCACCTCCCCAGCGTTGATTTGAAGGAGGAACTCGTTGATGGCCATCGTGAGGTGATAAAGTAAGTCAATTACAGGAGAGGACAGCGGGCTGAAGAGCTTCTTAGCAAGAGCTCTCGGTGGAATCTGGCAACATTGTTATTACAGAAACGTGGCTGGCTACCAGGTCCACTACAGAGGCGGTCATCGAGACAGCGGAGACCGTAGGCAGTGGCAGCCCATTCTCTTGTCTATCCTCTGCAGACAGCAGTAGCGGCTATCATGTGAGGTTGATACTCAAAACGGGCGCTTCGAGATTCATTCAGATCATCGAAAAGCGTTTGAGCGAAGCGGTGTTGGCGATGCTTGAACTTGTTGAACGTGATCAAGGCGGAGAAGAGCCCTCGGAAGAAATACGCAAGGTAAGGCCTAGTCGCGGTCGTTGAGGAATTGTAAGATTGCAATATTTTGTTAATAGGTTATTATAGAACGTCTGCGTAGTGTCGTCGCTGATCTCCTGTCGGGAGCTAGATTGTCCACTGAGAGAAGTTCGGCATGCAGGCATCTCGTATCTGCACTAAACTTGGTAGTTAGAGTCTTCGAGTACCCCAAGGAGGAGCGGGAGGCCGCCATAAAGGAGGTGAATGGGAGCTTTTTATCGGATGACATTTGACGAGATTGCCGGCTTTTCACAGGCTCTGTTAGCTCTCCGAGGTGTGGTAGCATCCTGTCCACTCACGCAGCATTCGCCTGATAGAATGACGGCTGAGGCTCAGGACAGTGTCTTGGCGGCTGCAGGGATAGTCTATGTGGGACTAGCACTGTAGACATTCTCTGGATATCCGAATTGGATAATTCTCCTCAGCAGATACCAGAACTGTAAGGAGCCATGTACGGCAAACCGCTCGAGAGCTCAGGATGGCCTGGGATTCCTGCATCGTTCGAGTGATGTTCGGGAGGAATTCGAAGGGTAGGGGTTGAGCCATCGGCTATGGTTAGCATTGATTTAGGTACATTACACACCTCTACAGGGAAGTTCATTTTCCTCACGCTGACAGCACTGAGTGGCCTGAGGCTACCGGTCTTGTACGGTTAGTGAGGCGACTGAATGATATGGTGTGGGCAGCTGAGGTCACTGATAGTGATGCGGTGGGTACTGAATTGATAGTCGAGGACATAGAGTGGGCGTCTCAGGCAAACTTTGTCCATCCTGTAGTGTGTCTACCGGCCAGTAAGGTGGTGATAGCCCCTGTTAGCGAGTGTTTGGAGGGCATCAGAAAAGGCGGAGCGATGCTACTTGATTTTAATGTCACTAAAGTTGAGCATGATGTTATTTATACTATGTGGTTTTCATCAGATGTAGGTTATATTTATGCATACCATTCCCTTCGTACATCCTCTCTCAGGATGGATCTGTAAGGTGGCAAATTGACTACACTTACGACCACTTTCTCGACCTTTCCCGTCGTTTGGCGAAAGCCAACCCAAAGTGTCCGCCTTTGCCGGCCACGAGGTATTCCCTCATCACTACCATACTCAGCCATCACGATGACATTGATGATCAACTAACCAGCGACCTCGGTCATTGGGTACTGCCACCGGGCTCCTCCACTACTTTATTGTGTTTTATCAGGTGAAGAACATCGTGGAGTCGGAGGGGGGCCCTATTATCGAACAGGCCTTCGGGTTGGGAGCAGCCCTGAGGAGACCCATCGAGAGAGGCAATTCAGAACTTGAAGACCATCGAAGTTGATTAATACTAACATGCAGCATGTCAGGATTGGTCTTCCTTGATGTTGGGTTATCTATAGGGGTATATAAGCGAAACAATTTCAACCTCTGCAGAAACGAGGCGGTCGTGAATAGAATTATGCTAAGCTGTCCGAACAACCTAAACGAGGCAGACCCCCTCCTCCTCTTGGGTTGAAGAAATGATGCCGATTGAAAGTAGTCAATGAACCGAGAAAGGGAAGACGACCAAAAGTGAAGAGGCTCGGTGAAGCAGAGAAATGTGACAAATTGGTGTGGCGTGCTAGAGTCTACCCACGGTCGCCACTACTACGTACAGCGTATGGAGGGGATGGGATGGCGTGCCTCGCCGGGATGGCGAACCTATTACTTGCCAGAGTTTGTACCGAGAAGGAAGAAGGCTGTTGGGGATCGGGTATCGAAGAGGACAATGGACAGAGGCAATGATCCAAGGGATGTGTTCGACCCTGGAGTCCCCCGTGGACTATGCTGACCATTGATTGTTTATGATAGTCTTACTTGCGTTATTCAGTGCAATAGGTCTACGATGAAACTCCGATAGAGAATCAACTTCGATGACCTGTCGATGTGAACGCGGTTCTCTGGCCCCTGCTGTTCAAATCAAACCATAACTATGGTGCAGCCTCCAAATCAGGATGGCGAATGTTTTCTAAGCACCATCGCCAAACCGATAGCATTACGAAGGACTATCAACTCGAGTCGGTGGTTGCAAACGGCACTGCTATCAAGCATGCGTCTTAGACATCCTTCTTGCTGTCTTGTGGGCGGCGGCGACTAGATCGCCTGGGCTGGGGAGGCTTATCCCGTTGGGCCTCCTCTACGATCGATTGGCCCACAAGGGACTCCACAGTAGCAACAGTGTTCAACCAAAACTTGTTCAGATTGAAGCCTCTAGTTGAATTGAGCACATAGTCTGTAGTGAGCAGCCAAGTATGCATGATAATAAAAATGGACGATGAAATGATGATGACAGCATGAGTGTCATGGTTGGCGAGGGGTGCTACGTACCCGAACGGCATGAAAAGTAGAAAAGCCCACGTACCCCCGTGGACAATCCAGGACAGAGTCGGCGGCACTGGAGTACTCAGATACATCATAGAGTCGCCTGCGCAGCCCCGACAGACAGTAAGGTCAGCTTGAACAGACAGTCGCACGTGGGAGGGTATATCCTTGATGGCCGCGAGGTTACGTAGAAAGCATGAGTACACTGCGGGGACCGACAACGGCCGGGCTATGGTGTCAGATTTCTTTAGCAACCCCATAGCCTCTAGCGCTTCGACTTGATCTTCCCCTCGACCGCCCGTTAGTTCAATAAGATGTATTGCGTAGCTGAGGAGGAGCAGTCGGTAGAGATCCAAGTGCTCTGCCATGCCCTCGCCAGTCAAGATGACGGTGATATCGATCGAGCGTCCTGCAGCGTGGGCAGTGAGGGTCCGCAGAGCCCACCAACGGGAAAAGCTGGCAGTGGTGTAGAAGCCGAATAGGAGGCCCAAGATGATCGAGAAGACGCTCCAGAGCTTGTCGAGGGAGGCCAGATGTAGGATGACGTCCTCCATGAAAGGGGCATGGGCGAGCATGCTGAGGCCCAATACGTACAGGAGAGTAGGGACGACGAAGGCCAGTGCAGAGACGCTGGTGGAACCGACCGCCGCGGCAGAGAAGGGGTAGGGCAGAAGACTCATCGCGGAAAAATGCTTCGAGACGTATACTCTTCCGAATTGACCGGAGACCAAGACAATTACAATAGTGAAAATGTGACAATGAAGATGCAATCATTCCCTGGCGCGTGATGACCTTGCCGCAAGAGAATTCATTCGCTCTTCTGAGGTTATTGTTCGAGGGACTGTCTTAGCGTCGTCAGCCTCTACCAGGCCCCTTCCTAGTGGGCCTATACGACGGTAGCTCTCCTCCTCCTCCTCCACCGTCCCAGAAGCCTCTACTTGCTCGGTTCACAGTGTCACCCTTGTGTGGTCGAGGCCTGACATTGCTAAGCTGTTCAAAACACAATAGGACGATAGCTACCCGTGGGTCTCCTCTCTCCGACGCTCTGCCTCCTTCTCCTGCCACTCATGACTAGCCTTGATTCGGGTGGCATCGGCCTCTAATCTGTCGAGATAGGCCAGACGTTCCTTCGGAGGATTCAGATGTTCAGCAGGACCTAATAAGACGTGATAAAGGGACTCAACAAGAACCAAACACGGACCACTCCCTTCTTCCACTGGCGTCCTCCCCGAAGCCGTCTCCTTATTAGTGATGTAGTGGTAAACCACATACCCCACAACAGCGCATAGGATGATAGCCACCGGAGACACCGGTGGCAACAGCCAACTGTTCTCAGTGGGCCGGGACGGCGCTGAAGCAACAGAAGATGACGTTGATGATGCTTAGCGACTACCCTCAATGGCTTCAGTAGCATCCTCTGGTGGTATTCCTTCCTCGATGAGCTGAGATTGAGAGAGTAAACTGAGATCGCGGTCACACCCTACCTCCGTGGGGAGGCACCGTATACTATGCATTCCACTCAGTGCAAGCCGCCTTTGGTCTTTGCTCTCTGGCGGCAATGGTAGGGCCGGTAAAATCTCTACAAGAGTGATAGCAGCCAATCGCATACAATCTGGTCTACCTCGGCCTCTCTTCTCTGTTATGAGGGAGTCCACTGGTACACACTCAACTGCTGCAGAAGAGGGGTAGTGAAGGCAGAAGCCAGGAGGACACAGGTGTTGGAGTTCGCCTATCGCAGAGTACATCTACCGGAAGGTCTAGGTGCTACAGAAGACATCTCACCTCCAGAAGCGGGAGTGATCTCCCTACCGAGGCAGCCAACAAGGACTGAACTCCACGTTAGGAAGAGTCTCATTAGGGATGAATCAAAAGGAAAAGCTCCGACTCGATCCCCTCACATAGCTGGAAGGATCCTAAGTTGCCACCGACGTTCGACGCGACTACCCGGTCTCAGATTGACACACTCCGCACACGACCCTCTCTTTGCAAGAAAGTCGGCTTCATTGCAGCATTCCACTTAATTGAAATCCTCACGTGATTTGCCTCCCCGCAGCTCCATCGTTCCAGGCTTGAAGAGCATCTTCATCTCCTCCAGTGTTAGACTACGACCATCGTCCTTCTGTAAAGCAGCCGCATCGCTCGCGTCGAAGGCCATGTTAGTGAGGCGACTCTTGCCTGCTTGAAGACTCATGATACGTTGATCAATCGAGTCACGCACAACGAAGCGGTAGATTCTAACAGTGTGCTGTTGGCCGAGACGATGGACTCTCATCATAGCCTGCTCTTCTACGGCCGGATTCCACCACAGGTCTAGCAAGTACAGGGTCCTTCCTGCGGTCAGGTTGAGCCCGACGCCGCCGGCTCGCAAAGATACCAACAACACCTTCCCTTGTGTCGTGCTGTCTCCATCGTCCTCAGGCTCCGACACTTCCACCTCCCCACAGGCATCCAAAGCGTCCGCCAGGACTGGTCGGATTTCGCTCTTGGTCGTCTTGTGGTTAAACCAGGCAACATTGCTCTGCCGCTCGTTCTGGTTTTGTTTGCCAGTGATAAGCCGGTAAGGGACTTGGTTAAGATCCAGCATGTGCGATATCATCCAGAGGTAAGATGTCCACTGGGAGAAGACCACCACGTTCCAACCTCTTCTCACATCCCTCTTTACGTATCGCAGCAGCTTCATCATTTTAGAACTCAAACGGAATTTATATTTAACCGCATCGTCTTCCGGAGGTTTCTCATCGGCATCATCCTGGAACTGACTGTTCGCATTGACCATCGCCTGTGTTGGAATGACTTGGAGGGAGTCTATGGATACCGGCTTCCGGCACACAGGGCAGGTTCCTGCCCGTCTGATGCACGCGTTTGCACAGGGTTGGCACATCGTATGGCCACACACTGTCAACACAGGCTGCTTCTTTACGTTGCTGCTGCTGAGTGCCTCGAGGCAGATGACGCACTCTGGAAGGGACTCAGACACCTTCATGTCGTCAATGACCTTTTTCAAGTAGTCCTTCCTGTGGGGCGAGGTATCTCTAGGGTCACCCATGAACCTATCGTAGAGCTCATCGAGGTTAGCTGCCATGCTAGAGCCATCTCCTGGACGCGCGTTATCTTCGTCTTCGGTCGGCACCCTACCCATGACCTACCCAGAAGAGGGACTTTCCAACAATTAGTGAAAGATGTCGAAGGTGCAGTACGGTAATGGAAGAGGAGTATCGGCAATCGAATGTGCTGCGAATGAACGACCCACAAGAGGCAACCTCACCTTAGCGAGCTTGGATGGTATACAGAGGATAGGATGACAGAGTGCTTGGCGGAGTCGTAGGATAAGATTGAGTATCTGACGACCCATCAAGCGTGCCGCCTACGGTTGCTACTGCGGCCTGCCACCTTCATTCTGTGCAGATTCTCCGAATGCTCAATGAAGCTGTTGAACTCAAGATGGCTTCGCCAGAAAAGATAGGTGTACAGCCTCTCCTCATCGGCATCTAGGGGGATTTCTAACGTGCGCACCATCTGAGAAGACGACCACATCCATTCGTTCACCTAGCGGCTTCCATGACTAGCAGCCACGGAGTGACCACCACTGTGAGTGGTCTGACCTTATCTGGCATCTGCACCAAGGGTTGGCCATTGGAATCTTTGGTTTCCTTGGTTCTTCTTATCATGATACGGGACAACATATTATGCAGAGCAGCTCGACCCGCTTGATCCCCTTCCTTCACAGGGTCCACTATATGCCGCTTGTAGAAGGCGAACGACGACCACGGCTCGACGTGGAGGAACTGACAAGGGCAGGGCATCATGAAGAGTGCTCTTCGTGATGTGAGCATGGCGGCTACTTGTATGATTGGGAAAAGGTCCTCCAAAGTATTCTGGACAGGAGTACCTAGAGGGCCTCAGTCATCCAATAGATGGTACGAGATTAAGCTTACCCGATAGACACCAGAGACGATCCCCATGGAGACAAGTCCGCACCACTCGAGAGATCGCCGTAACTCGTGACTTTATCAAGTGACACTCATCCAATACTATACGCCGCCACCGAATGTGCTGGAAAGAGTTTAGTTCAGGAGGAAGGGAACAGGTCTGCCCACTTTCATGATGTCCGGTCCATCCCGTGTGACGACGCCGTAGGTGGTCATCACGAGGCCGGCCCTCTCTGCTACTGCGACTAGCTCCTCAGGACTGCGTATCCTATCGTTTCCGTAGTATTGGAAAGGCTTACCTGCGTGTGATAATGCTCGGGCTGAGATGGATGACAGTTCCATTGAATGAAATGCATTCTATCGTAGAACGGCCGAGCATTCTTTTGATGAGAAAATATTAGCAGTATCGTCCTGTTACGCAGCTCTTTGAATGTCGACTCGCCACTGACGATTCACTGCTACTGATTCCGCTCATCTCAAAATCAACTTCCAAGTAACTTGTATTCAGCATTCAGCCAAGAGAACAGTTTCTCTTTCACTCATTGACTGTCGGGTTATTTTTTGGTTGAAAATCCCCGAGAGCCCCAGATCATCTCTCATAAACCTCCTCAGGAGTAGTCTACTCCGATTAGCACATCACTAGCATCTGTTAGACTGGACCCCTCAAAGCCTCTCCAGCCTACCAAATGTCTCCACATCGCCCATATGCTCGACTGCCTCGTTCTGCCATTGGTTTAGTAGTGAGAGAGGTACGACGATGAGAGTAGCTTTGGTACTCAGTCGACAATGACTCACAGCTCCCTGAAAAGAATGCTATCATGCCCAGTTGGCCCGAACTCCACACCGCCATTTACGCACGTTCATATCATAAGATTACCAAGACCATGAAAGTTGCCTACCTTCCCCGATGTCTTGGGTTGAAGACTCACACCCCGATCTAGCAGCCATCGGTCTGTCGCGATGAGAGACAGAGCCATGATAGTCTTCCCCAGACCCATTTCATCCGCAAGAATTCCTCCCAGACAGTCTGGCGCGGCACCAGGGAATTCTACTGAGGCTTCAGCCCTCGATGCATGTAGATACAGCCTGATATTGGATGAGATCTAGATGCAAAGGCGGAGCCCCTACTTGGTGCTGGGGTCCAGGGTAGGGAACTCTGCCCAAGAGGGATGTAGAGCGACCTCTTGCTTATCGACAACAGCACAATGATGAGCATCTACGACGGGCCGCATCCAAGACGTAGCAGAGAGCTCCAGCCTACCGATAGGATCAGTGTAGAGCTCGATGGCTTCTTCAGGGAGGCCACCACATTCAGCGGGCCATTCTCTCTTCATCATCCATCCTAGAGCCTGGACCTACGATGGGCCGCTTCAATAAAGATATCTCCCCGCCACCCTACTTGGTAAGGCTTGAGGTCACACGCCATGACGCCTGGCGGAGGGTACATTTGAGGTAGGTCCAAACGCGCAAGATACTCAATGGACCCATCACGAGCCTTGAGGACCTGCAGTGGCACAACGGAAAAAATAGGACAATCTTTCATCATGAAAACGGGATTCTTAAACTCCAAAAATCCCTCTGAGACTTGGAGGTGTGCAATCCGGAAGACACCCTCGCCTCCGAGGAACCCAAGTTGGGCCGCTTGTTGGACCGCCCAACGTCCCCCAAAGAGGAACCCCCTCTTGCGTGTGGTAACCGGCGATTACCTCCTGCATTTGAGCAGACATCTCCCCCTCTGTCTCTTCGACCTCCTCGCTCTCGGTACCATCAGCTGCAGGCGATGGCAGGGACTCCGTATCGGGAGATGATACAGCCTTAGCGTCGGTTATGTTCCAACTAGCCTGACACCAGTGGCCATCAATACGACCTCCCAGAGACTCCGTCATTACCGCTCGCGTAGGCTTCAGTCCAAGGCATTCCTCATCCGTGACAAGGGACCACCAGCAGTCTCTAAGCTTATCAAATACTCCCTCTTGGTCGGCCGCGACTTCAAAAAATCGTGCCAGATGTCTCTTGTCGGCAGTAGCCTTCAAGCCACGACTGTCCACCATGACCGTCAGCGTGACGGGTATGTTATCCCCCATCCTCACAGGACCACCAATGACCCCAGCGTATCCCGCCAGCTTCCCTACTCGAACAGTCACTGACAATCCCAGATCGAGCATCACTAGCGGAGACAGAACCTGCGCTATCGAGCCGGGTAGGTTACCGACTTCATTGCTCGGAGGGCTCAACTGTGGTTGACTGAGCCGTGCTATTGCCGTCCCTCGGAGTACTCTGTCTCCGAGGTTGGCTGCCTTCTTTCTACCACCGGTTCGACGGAACCCTTTCGGCTCTTTGAAAGTACAAGTCAAATTCAGTATCCTGCCGGGCTTCATCCGATTCTCCTCAGTCGACATCGGCCGCGTGCACATACAGAAAGTGTTGATCTCCCCCAAGACAGTTCCCGTACTTCTATGCTTTGCTACTAGGTCCTCTTCAGAGTCCCCACTCGAGTTCGGACTACGTGAATCGTATGATGGGTCCATCATCCATCGCATCAGATCTATCCCTCTCCGTTCGCTACTAGACGAATCATCCCGGCGTCGCTCAATCGACTCTTTCCGTCTAGGATTCGGTTCCGATAGTCGCCTGATGCTTTCCGAGCCGCTGTGCCGCGTCCGCATCACATATTCAGCCACTTTCTCAGAATCAATCTGATCAACAACTATCCATGTACTACACGAACCACAGGACAGCAGCACGACAATCTCGAAGGAATCTAGCCCTTGTAGGCCCCCACAATAAGATCCTCATATCATTGGGAGCCGAGTCCTACCTGGGCGAAGTAAAGATCAACAGCCTTCTCCAGGTTCCCTTTCGCAGCGATGAGCAAGTCTTGTAGCCTCTCTTCGGTGGGAGTACTACCAACTAGAGCCCTGAACATCACTAGAGTCTCTGAGTCTACACCTCCCGCCACACGCTGCCGCTTGGTAGGAGGCTGAGCTGATGACGAAGAAGATGAAGAGGAGGAGCTCATGAGCTGATCAACTAACGTGTTGTGACACCATAGAACCGTGAGAATCTCCGCAGGCAGTTATCAGCTAGACGCCCATCTTACACGGAAACCTGTCCTGTCGTTAGCGCTTTCGAAAAAGTACCATGAACTCAAACATCGTGAGTGCCCCCACCATAAGCGATCCTTGCACTATGTTGGCTCCTTGACCTCTGAGAGTACGATACCGTATAGACTGCACCAGAGCGGTCCCCAACCCACCAAGGACGCCTAAGGCCAGGCAGCTGGATCTTTCTACGAGAGAGAGGTATACTACATCCACCAGCGAACCATTTGGCCCATCTCTTGTAGCGTTCCCTTTTGGCAAAGCCCATACGAGGGGTCGATCCAGCTCGGCCAAACGCTGCCTCTTCCTTCTCCCACATACCTTCCGGCAGCTTATAGCCCGCTGATTGCTCATAGAACGGCATGAAAATATGACTGCTGGCGGCATGCACACCGTATTGATAAAACGGATGATACGAGTCAGCTCGGCAGGTTCTATCATTATTTTGAAGGCTCAAGCCGTTCTATTAGTTTCACAAGCAACGACGTGATACACAGGCTAAGAGCGATGATTACGTGCCCTGTGTAAACACGTGGATAATACTCTGAGCGGATTCCACCAGCTGACAGAGAAAAACGGTGCGCCTGTAAATTGTTCATCTCAGATGAATCATCTGACATTGAGAACTGTTTTAGAATGTCCACAACATCAGAGACACTCACAATCGCATGACACAACTAACGCAATAGTATGAAGATACCGAAACAAAAGTAGTAGCTTGGTCTGAATCGAACAGATGTAGCCTCAAACATGGTAGAATACGAGGAATAAAGAACGCAGGACGCATCCGTCCAGCTGATTAAGAACGAGGTGGTGGTGTCCTCCTGATCGTCACAAATAGATGAAGAACCAGCCCGTGGAGTTACAAACAGTTCGGTTCCAATTCATCAATCTGCTGCAGAAAAAGGTCTCGTACGGACCTGATTCGTATCCAGTGAGCGAGAACCCTGTGGCATAGCGGCCCCACTTTAGACACCCCGGAACACGTATCTTCAGCTCAACCATTGTAGTATCACTTAGAGAGAGGTACCACCAGGACGGCCAGACCCGACTCGAGCCGTGGACGGTTCTGGGCGGATCCTCCCCGACGAGGGGGAGTCCTCGTTAGGGCGTCTCCCAAGTTCACAGATTCTACCAGAACAGAACACAGTTATTTTCACACAGAAGCTTATAACAAGAAGCTGATAAACCAGACAGATACCTCGGACAGAAGCTTATAGCCGAATCGCAGTGGTAATATGTAATACTCTCACAGCCTCTATGGCAAGCTGTCCTAGTGGCATGCATAGAATAGAGGTTCATACGAAGAATGCCGATTTCAGTGAGATGATATGCGTCTGGACCGCATCATCCCTTCCCAGTTACATGATGGCTGAGTACTGAACTCATCTCCAAAGGATATTTCCAGAGACAGGCTATTATGGCAATTGAGTTTATTGTCGTACCAAAGAACCAACGGCAAGGATGGTCCCCATGAACATAGCACTCGGACCAGCATACTTTAAACAACCTCTCAATGTACCCGTCTGGACAGCATAACCAGCGATGCCCGCAGAGGCTCCTATGAGACCTGAGACGAAGCCGACCGAGCGATCCCAAAACACGCACACAACATCCGGCGACGTTACTATTACCTCCTTGCATAAACATCATCGTCATCTGTCGCGCATAGAAGCCCACCTTACTAGGCTGATGGATCTGATACTGCTGTTGTTGGTAGCTCATGAGGATAGTAAACGGTAACTGGAGGAGATGAGGCAACGCCACCTACCACACCGGTTTACTCGGTAAATATGAACAAAGAAATGAAACACTCAATTATCCCGTATTATCGTATTTCACATGATGATGATATGATATTTCTGGTACCAGTCTTGATTCTGAAATACTCAGGAATCAATCGGCTTGTTGGGTGCAGTCGTCTCTGCAGCGATCATATCGCGCAATATCCTCATATCACTGGTTACTTCCGGCAGAGCGTCTTCGATCTCACCTTGACGCCGTGGTATGGCCATAACTCTACCGACGTCCTCATCCATACACCAATGCTCAACTAGAGCCTCCTTCTCACCCGGAGGGGCTAGCAGGAATGCATTCACCATCCTGCTCAGCTTGCCTAGGTCACAGTACTCCTCATAAGCTTGTCTGTCTAAACACCCTTCCTCAAGGGGATCCTCATCCACCATACGACCTAGTAGGATCTCCTCAACTTCCCTTGCACTACGATTCCCAGTATCCAACCTCACTGCAGCTTGCAGCAGCTCTTCTTCGCAGCGATGATCGTTGACAGTTACCCCAGCCTGGAATGGAGTCAGTGTGATGGTATGCAGTGCATCCGAGCCTAAGATATCCTTCTCTGTGCGTGCATCGTCTTCCCGACGGATCCCAGTAACAGTCCCCCTGGGCACGACGTCGATAAAGGAGCAAGAGCGCAATGGAGGGTGCAAGTCGTCAAATCTGGAGAGAGTCGCAACATCATAGACATCATCAAAAGTACGTCCAGTCGCCCCTGCAGCCTCTTCCCGCTGAATACCAAGACCACCATCTGGAAGATAATCAAACCACGGCGGGTTGTGGCCGGGAGCCTGAACTAGGTGTATGTTCGCTGCCCTCTTGAAAGTGTGTAAAGGTAGAGTCCACCATTCAATATGACTATCCATAGGATCATCACAAAGAGGCTTATGATGCACAAACGCATCCACATCACAGTCGGCGTTACTCCAAGGCCTAGGCAGAGCCCCTACAGGAGAATACAGACCTAGGAAGAGATTCACAGCATGCTGCTTCTCCTGATCTGATACATTATTAGCATAATGGCGATGTAGTGATATGAGAAGATCCCTACTGCGGGCTGCCAAGCCAGGCCAATCGGAATCAGGACGGTCTTGATAAGAAGGTAAGCGGGTCAGTCGTTGATTGCTGCCGTTGAAGGCCGCGGGTTGCTGATCCCTTTGAAAGGAGCGAGTTAAACCAATAATATATGCATACTTCTTATGAGCCTCACTACCAGCATATTGCCACGCCAATTGATCTCCCATTTCCTCATAAATACGAGTAAGCTCTCTCATCATCATCAGTGGTGGCGGCTCTCCCGCCTCAGGTAGTCCTATAAAGCCTTGTTCCCTCAACTGAAAGCACAGTACTGCATACCCCAGGTGGTATTGGAAGACGTTGGTCCGATCAAGGCAGTCCACACAGCTACCCCTCGCCACGCCACTTTGGAACCTTCTAACCCCTTCGCCCTTGGTGTCCAGACAGAGCCATCCTGTAGACAAGGCCAACCACTCTGATAATATTCCTAGATGATCAACCAAGTCTTGCCGAACGCCTCTCTTGAGCCTAGCCTGACCAGCCAAGTATTTACTATAGGCCTTCAGATCGAAGACTATGTATCGTATCTTCAGTGGTGGTGGGAGGTCAGCGTTCAAGGCAGTGACCGTACGCTGATAGCGAGAACCCAGCATAAACTCCTGTTCATTCTCAACAGTGGACAGCGAGCGTGGCGGACGCCCCTCAAAAGGACTTTTCTTCTCTTCTACCTCCTCCTCCTCCTCTTCTTCCCCCTTCCTCTCAGCATGCCGCATCAAATTGACCACCAGTATTGGGCCGCCATACCTCCCAAAGAGCCCCGAGAAGTGCCTTTTTGAAGCCGTATTATTCCGATCAGTCCTGTGAAAGCGTATTGGAGGCTTAGGCTTCATCAGGCCCAACTGGTTCTGGTCCTGCATCCAAAATACAGGCACACTACCGCGAACTTGAACAAAGCTACTCAGAGGGTGACGACCTATCCCTCCAGTAGAGAGATCAATAAGCATCTGCTCTGTCTCAACCTCATTAGCCGCATCACCATCAGCGTTAATGCCTCGCTTCCTGTACCGAGTCCCTGCATAGAAGCGAGACCGCCGACCTATGAGGATTATGCTCAGTACTCGAGATAGAGAAGATATTTCGCGCGCCGCAAAATACCCGTAGATGATGGGTACATACCATTGCTGAACTCGCCAGTCAGAATGATTACGGAAACCTTCGCTGTGCGTCCAGTTCCACACAAAACGGGACAGAGAAGATTCCGCGATATTAGCCTGGGCACTGCGTGAGATATCGTATGTATGACAAAAGTAGTAGCCTCTACCCGCCTGCATATCCTGGATCCAATCGATAAGCCTACGCTCATCCTTAGCCAGCTGACGTTGATGTAGTATAGAACCCGTATTAGTACTACTACTACTACCCCCACCACCAATAGAATACTGCTGCTGCTGCTGGTTGTTGTTGTTGTCATGGTTGTTACTACTACTCTTCAATGGTATCAATATAGTCTTCTCAGTACTCCACACCTAAACACACTATATACTACTTTCTCGATACTAGAGAGGTGCTGCTTACTTGGTGACAGCCTCGACCACCGATCCACCCCACTGGTCGGGCCTCCGAGACAACCACTAGATAGTATCCTTGAAGAAGTTGGATTAACCCCACCACTGCCTGAACATATCTTAGGTCGAAGTCCACAAGATACAGAATAGGTCCATATGAGGCCCACCCGTATGTCACTAGCAAGTCGTTTGTCCGACGAGGTCCTTATATCGGTATCAGTAGCATATACAAGGGGCCTCGAGCTGACATGTGCAGCCTGCCTCGCAATACACAGGTACTCCGCCTTCTCCTCCTCCTTGTCCTCGTATCTTAACTACTTCGTATAACGATCGTCTAGGGGATAGAGACTACCTCCTTAGACCTCTCACATACACCAACTCACTCGACTGATACACATCAATTTTATCAAAGTCGCCAAAGCCCTGTGCAGCTCTCAAGGGTCTTAAAGGGTGGGACTTCCCAGGCATGGGACCATCATCACTATACAGGAATATCAAGTTCACATAGATTAGAATCTACCCACTAGATGTGTAATTTAAGGGAACACATCTATTCACTAGATGTGTAATCTAAGGGAACACATCTATTCACTAGATGTGTAATCTAAGGGAACACATCTATTCACTAGATGTGTAATCTAAGGGAACACATCTACTCACTAGATGTGTAATCTAAGGGAACACATCTATTCACTAGATGTGTAATCTAAGGGAACACATCTACTCACTAGATGTGTAATCTAAGGGAACACATCTATTCACTAGATGTGTAATCTAAGGGAACACATCTATTCACTAGATGTGTAATCTAAGGGAACACATCTACTCACTAGATGTGTAATCTAAGGGAACACATCTATTCACTAGATGTGTAATCTAAGGGAACACATCTACTCACTAGATGTGTAATCTAAGGGAACACATCTATTCACTAGATGTGTAATCTAAGGGAACACATCTACTCACTAGATGTGTAATCTAAGGGAACACATCTAGTCACTAGATGTGTAATCTAAGGGAACACATCTAGTCACTAGATGTGTAATCTAAGGGAACACATCTAGTCACTAGACATGTCTCTTCGATTACACATCTTGACATACAGCCTTCCACTGAACTCAACAACAACGTGGGGTAGGAGCAGAAACATAACAACATGTTAGTAAGGACGAGGTCCCTTTTTCTTACCGTATTTAGGCTTCAACGTCGGCTTCCCAATCACTTGGTCGGACATCTCACGCTCGAAGTCTTCAACCTCCCACTGCTCCGCCTTGTCAGAGTCGGGTTTGTTGCCTTCGAAAGGATTCCCGACGAAAGGATTAGACTTCCTGCACACAGAAGAATATCTTTAGGTCGACTGTGTAAGATACGGAATAGGTCCGCTTCTTACCCAACCCCATACATCTCTCTCAGCGTAGACAACGATGGTATTGCTTCCTAAAACACATACCTCTCCCTCTCCACATCTCCTACACACGTCCTTACATCATTATCATCATTCAGTAACTCCTTCAATGATGCTGCCACTCTACTCTTCTTCAACGGAGCAGCGGAGTACTTAGACTCTAAGCAAGGTACAAATCTTATTCCGATTGACCTCGACATTACTACTACAACTACCATCAAAAGCTATTGCCTCGGCCATCTCAGTAGCACCCTCCACCGCATCCTCCCCTAGTAGTGTTTCATCATCATCAACTCCGAAGAGTTCTTCTTCCTCGACCTCATCCTCGTCTATGATAGGATCGAGCATCTCAGCAGCCTCAAGTGCCGCTGCTGTATGACGTCGTTGTTGCCTTCGAGATACTCCCATAGCCTCCATCCCCTCCCATCGACGATACTTCGATGCGTGTAGTTTACCCACTAACGATGCACGCTCCTGTTCGACCTACACAACCACGAAATAGAGCCGTCATCAATCATGATAGAAAAGCCGGTTGTGCCCTCCTACCTCCAAGCGTCTAGGCATCTTCATAAGACTCTTTATCTCCTCCTCCTCCCTACCAGCATCCTTATATGCCTGCTTCAGCTTACCAAATCGGAAACCACGCACTCTCGACAGGATTCGCCGTAGATGGAGCTCCTGAGGACCGCCCTACAAGGTACTACTATTATCGAGATCTTACCCTCAGCTCAGCCTCCCTCTGTCTAGCATAGGCAAGGCCGTTGGGATAAAGGGGGTTAGGTCGTCGATTACTACCGAACGCTGGCACTACAGCGGAGTTCCAAGCCATAGCCATCTCAATCTACGAGGACGACTTAGGCGTACCGAGGGATGATGGGTTACCTCTGTTGCTCTCCAACTCTCCTCCTATCACGGAACTCTTCTCCGTCTGAAATGGGTATGCATGAGATCGATGACCAAACAGACCGATAAGATAGGGCAGAGGGGCGTATAGTAGACTACTACAGGGGTTTATACATTTCTGATAAAAAAGCAACCACACTTTTGTCAATTTTCGGCAAACAATATTGACATCCACGATGATGCTGTTTCAACTAAGACGCTATATTATTCAGCCCAAGCCGTCCTCTCAACTAGCACTAGACTTCCAAGGACGACCATTTACACAGCATAATTTCCATCAGTGAAAACAGCAGCAGACTAGTTCCTATAAATACTACTGTTTGAAGGCCATCCTTCTGTCCATACCAGTGTTCATCAACTGTAGCTGCCGCGCTACGAACTGCATAACAGGATGGTCATCTCTGAGGGCGGCGGCTTCCCGAAACTTAGTACTATTAGAAGCTCACCTGTAGGTGTCGTTGCCACGGCTCCATTGATTACCCTCTACGAAGCAGTCTTGGAAACGCAGGTCCGGGTACTTCCGTAAGAGGAATTTGACAAGTTTTGGGTATGGATTTTTGATTTTACGAGTCTGAAGGGGGAAGAGGAGAAGACAGAAAATTGCTAAATGTGTCGATGTAAGAGTTCAGCATTTATGAGTGTAATTATATAATATACAGTTATCTATGATATCAGTATGAGCTAGTAATATCTATGAGATGAGTTATCTCTAAAATATACTTCCTAATTTTAACGCGATAATATGACTATGATATCAAAGTAACGTGATGGTAATTTTGCAAGGTTCTTTATTTCTACTACTGAGTTTGATAATACAACCGATCATCACTGATCCACTCATGCACCTGCATTGAGTTCGAGTACACGCTATCAGGGGGAAGGACGGGGATGCTGTACCAAAAGGACCAGCAGCGTATTCGTGATAGACTCTCGTCGGGTATGGAGAATCTCCTTTCCATAGAACTGTAAGTTACCTGGAAGTTGATGTTGAGATTCTCCATAGGAGGGACTCGTTCAGCGCTCTGCATCCAAGCTGGTCGTCGAGTGAGCCTAGGAGGAAGAGGAGTATGATTCCGGAAGATCCTTTCCTTGTCTTACATGCCGGCCTCGGCAAGGCGGCGTATCCTGCCGACTATATCGAGCTTGTATCCTCGGTAGAAGTTGGTACCATAGGGATGGATGTGTCCATAAGTCATGGGAGAAGGAAGAACACGAAGAATAGAATAAGACAAGTTGATATGCAACATAGTCTCCGCTGGGAGTCGAACCCGGGTCGTTCGATGTGGCATCGGCGGTCGAGTGCTCTACCGTTCTCCCAAATTTACCAAATGCGGCGTGGTCGTTGTTAATGTATCCATAATTAATCCACCGT